AGAGGTCCCTTCCAACCCAAACTATTCTATGATTCTATGATTTCAGTGGTGTTTCAGATCAATTTGTAATATCCGGACAGGTAGTATCTTGTCATTGAATAGATACCAAAAATAATGGCAACAAGACATTCAAGTCAAAAAGGAGGTGAGACTTCAAAAGGTGTATACACTTTCTAAAGTGAAAGAACACTGCATTGCTAAGAAAAGGTATGCAGCCACATAAGTCAAAATCTACTGTCAACTAGCCTGAGTGGATTTTCCAGTTTGTGGGATAGGTTTGTGCTGAAGTGGGTTTGATCTGGAAGCTGTCTGGCCCCCTTCTGCTACACCTCACTTTGCACTCAGTGGTGTCTGCTGGCCTCTCTGTTCTCCGTCACACCCACCCTGTAGGTTCCCATATAGTTGGCACAACACATTTCTGGATTACCACACCCTTTTTGTGCCCCCACTTACCGTAGCTGGCTGCACTGCATGCATGTAGCACTGAAATCCCACCCAAAAACTAGCTTTGAGATGTTCTGGTTTGAAAATTCAAACCTTTCAAGAGTTATACAGAACTGTACAGGATTTTCCATTTTGACAGCCTGTGCCACCTTACAGTGAGATCACCTATAGCAATATGTGCAGGTATTTAATATAAATTGGTATGTCCTATCTAGTAAAACATAGTTTCTGCTGGAGCTTTGCTTCCTCTTGAATCTTTAAAAATAACTTGACAGGTTAGCCCATTTCACAAAAAGTCAGCAACTCTGACACAATACCATGCCTTTATAAACAAGCGCCTTCAAAAATAATACTGCTAAATGTGACTTTCTTAAAGAGTGCTAGCACGGGGCTCTCACAGCTCAAACACATACATGTTGTGCAGTCCCGAAGAGTAGTAGGACAGAGTAGGGCTAGGAGAGCGGGTCTGCTGTCGTGCAGGTTTGACTGTACGAGGAGGGATGGAAGGACTGGTGGAGGACGGCTTTGAACTCCGTGGTGGGACAGGGGGAGCATTCAGGAGCCTGCATTCCTCTTTTACCTGTACAAAAGAAGAACGTGTAAGAAAGCAGCAAGAAAATCTGGGCAACAGCACTCTCAACCAGATGAAACACATCTGGTTCTGCCTTATTCTGTGAGAGGAAATAGTTAAAAAGGGAGGAGAAAAGAAAAATGATGCTAAGTATATACATTTGCAACAGTATGTGGCTGTCATAAGGAAGTCCAAAAGAACGCCTTGCTACCAGTAGAGCTACTGGCAATCTTTTTTAGGGTGCTTTTCAGTAGTTTGATATCCACTCATTTAAAAAGTAGCAGCAATGAAACGATGTGAAAGAACCTTCCAGTAACATACAAAATCAGACAGACTGTTCCAGATATTTTACATTTTGTAAGGAGCAATTAATTAGGCTTAAACTTCATTAATGTTGTTTATTTAGATGTAATAAACCAACCTGACGTAATGAAAAGATCTTAACAGACTTTGATGTTTCCTGACTTACTTCACCAGCGATACTCAGCCATCCAGCTCTAGGATAATTCCCAGCCTTCCTCCCCCAGGAATAGCACATGTATCTCATATTTACCAGATGCTGGGATTCAAACCTGGAGCTTCAGTCCTTCTGTAGCTGCCAAAGCAGTCCAGGAGAAGGTTAGCTACAAAACATACAAGCTGAAAGGTGTGGGCAGAAGTGCCTGTTCAAATAACACACCCAGCCAACAGGTCTAGTTTTTGCAGCCAGCCAACTTTGCAGCTTAAAACACATGACTGCAGCGCTGCTTACCTGAAATTTAGTTTGGTCCGCCTAGGTAGGACCAAAATATCAGGGTCCATCCTCATAGAAAAAATGATGGAATTAAGAACTAATCTCATCAGTACATATTTGGCAGAGCAACTTTATTTAGTAGGGCTAGAGGTGAGCAGGGCTACCAGGCAAGATTTTTAAGGACTCATTTAGTAGGGCTAGAGGTGAGCAGGGCTACTGAGAATTAGGCTGCCAGGCAAGATTTTTAAGGACTCGCCACCTCCCCCTGGGCAGGAGGAGACCTCTATGTTCTCCTTGTCTGAAACAGTCTTAGATGCACCAGAAAAGGGAAATTCTCTCTATGTTTGAAAGTTACAGTTTATTTTTAAATTTAACAACACTGCAGAACTAGAAGTTATCTTAGCAGTTCTGCAACACATAATTAGCAATTAAAGTGATTTAATTTATTTAAAAACAAAATAAATGTGGAACCTTTTGCAATCCACTTCAGTGCTTTCAAAATGCAACAACCCGTTTAGTACTTTTGTGAAATGGAAAATTGGGGACTAGGACAGTGTAATACATTTTTTCCCTAATTCAAAACAAGTCAAAATTACAGGAAATGCCCGACAGCATAAAACACTGAAATAAATCTTGCTCTAAGGGTTCTTATTTGCTCTTTCAAGAAAAAAAAAAAATCAATTTTATTTATGTTTGTTATTGAATTCAGGCATAAAACTCTTCAACCATTTTAGTGTCGTGCCCCAAGGATGCCTAAGGACTTAATTTTTTTTTTTTTCTCCCAAGTCAGACTAGGCAAAGTTAATACTGCACGTTATTGACTATATACCCATGGGGTTAGAGAGACCATTCGGGGAGCTCTTGGAGCACAGCAGATGGTCAAGGGGTTAAAGGCATTCTTTCCTGGCAAGACTGCCGGCATTCAAAGGTGCTGGCATAACAAACTATGCCAAGCTCCCTTGCTGACCTAGATTGCAGATCAGAATGAGGCCATAAATAAAACTGGTTTGCAGTCCCAGTTGGTCCCTGTCACAAGACCGCGATTACAGCTGCCAGACACAGCCCTCAGGAAACCCAGCAGGGGAATAAAAAGGAGAGATTTTGCAGATTAAACTGACAAGAGCAAGGGGAAACTTCGGAGAAGAGCTACCCTCACTAGGTCCAAGCGAACAGCAATGAAATACATGCGGGAGAGGAGGGGAACAGCCGCGGTGCGACATGACGACTGCGATGGCTGCTGCTGTTACAAGGAAATACTCTTTTGCCCAGAAGCACTAGATGCCATGTGGCTGCCAGATAGAGATAAAGTGCATTCGCACTGAATGTCTGAGCCCTCCCACGCTCCAGCACTCACTCCCGTGACCCGGGGATGGTGACCCCTTTCCGATGGCGTGAGGTGGATTTTAAGACCTCTGCTCCTTTTCCTTGGTGCCAGCCCAAGCCCCGCCAGCACCCCCTGGGCCCTGGGGTGTCACTCCTGAATCTGGGCATCGCAGGTGCCTGTCGCAAGTGACCACTTCTGAGGTCGCCTGGATAAAACCCACCCTGTCGCCGGCGTGACCGTAAGCGTAATGCAAAGTGGTTCAACACTTCTTGCCGATGGGAGCCTGAACTGCTGGCGTGCTCCACTGGGGATGTGCTTTAAATCAATCAGGAAAACAGCCTCTGATTTTACACAAATTAGTGTTTGGGGATTGAAGCAATTTCTAATTCACAGGCCTTAATTCAGAGGTCATTCCCCCCCGCTTCTGCCTTCATGCTACTTTGATTTTCTGAAAGGTATTTAGAACATAAGCATTATATATCAGAATGCTTCATCCTGCCGGTGAGAAGAAAACCAGAACAGCTTCTGAAACACCCGAATGTCCTTTTCTCTCTCCTACAAACAGCTCATGTACACGCATTTTAAATTTAGTGCATGCAAAAATACAATTGCCAGCCAACCTTTATACAGAAACGCTATGGAATATCATTTTAGAGGGAGTGATGACTAAACCGCATGTTCATCAGCCACTCCTGAGATCTACTTATTCTATAAATACCCTACATGGAAACCATGCAAACATCTCCCCGGCCCCAGCCCACTGATGAATTCAGTAGATCACTGATACTCATTCCAAAGCTGTTCTAGGAAGCCACAAAACCGAGTCTAAATTATTATCATCTACAGAGATGCAGGTTTTTTTATTTGATTTTATTTCCTACGGGGTTACACCCCCTGCCCACCTCTAAATGCAAGCTAATATCTTTAGCAGAAATTAGTTCTCCTGCACGGCTAGAAAGCAATACTGAAACTGCTGACAGCACTCACACATTACCTCAGTAATGTAAGACACGCATGACAAAATCACACACTTTTCACAGTGACCTTAAAAGGCAACATAGGTAGGTATCCCAACCGCCACCCTGCTGCCCCCAGAAGGGAGTCGCTATGCCACGAGGTTTCCCCAAGTGCGAGGGTCCACACCGATGCTGTGCAGGTGCTCCACAGCTTTCCCAGCATCCCATCACCCATGCCTCAGGCATGACATGAGACACCCACACTTCAGGCATGACCTGGGGGGGGGGGCAGCCCCCTTCCAAGAGGGGTGCCCTCACCCTACTGCAGGGGCAGCCTTCCTCCTCCACCGCCCCCTCGCCGTCCCACCCGCTCCCCAGCGCTGGCTCTGGCACTCCTTTGACCCTGCGCTGAAGTAGTTCAGCTCACAGAAATCAGCAGGAAACTAATAATTTTCCAGATCCAGACCTGGCTGCCTGCCCAGGCACAGGAGCGCCAGAGCCAGCACAAAGGAGGAGCCAGGACCATGTGGCTGGGAAAGGAGAAAGAGGAGGAGGAGGAGGGTGGGACCAGCCCCATGCCGGTTTACATCAGCGTAGGCTGCCAGGGAACCTCATCCCGATATGGTGCTGCTGGGCACTTGTCCAAAAGAGTCTGGACAAAGTGTCAGTGCATACCTGACCTCGGAGGCAAGGAAGTGCTCTTGGGCTCCTGCACTTAGACATTACACGTAAACACTCTTTGCTGAGAAGACGTAATGTCTTGACTCTCCTGTCTTTGCTGAAGCTGCTGCGGCTGCTTTTTGGGGAAGTTTTGGCGGCACCGTCAAAGGGCTGCAGTTGTGCCTTTCGTGCCTGCGCTGGCGTTCTCCTCCCCGCTCCTCGCTGCCCCTTCCCAGCAGCTGCACTGCCTGGCCAGGGGGATCCCCACAGCAATCCACTGCAGGCTAATCCAGCACAAATAAATACAACTTAGCTTTCAACCAGGTTGTGACCTGGCTCATGATGGAAAGGCTATGGCCAACACTGCCGGACTGCAAGATGGCAATAGGAAAGGGATGGGATCACCATGGTTTGCTGCAGTTTGGTCTTAGATTAGTCTCAGCTTACTATGCAGCCATGCTCTTGAAAATATCATTGGACTTGCAAATGGAACAATATTTTCTGTATTTAAATTCCAGCAAAACCCCTGCAAAACTAACTTGTTAAATTATAATATCTGTCAAGATTCATGTGACTTAAGTACGTATCATTTAAATTTTGCTAAAGATTCCTAGACACTCTTTCCTGGGGGAACTTTTCTTTTTTTCTTCGTGTTTTTTAAAAAATAATGTTTAGGACTATGTCAAGAGACCACGTAGTGGTTGGATTTTCCACCCAGTCCACATAAGTTCCTGTTAATAAAACGTATTTGTATTTTTGCCTCTGAAGTCTCCATGACATTTCAGGTTTGGAGAAATGATTTTTCCCACGAGTTTTCATTAGAAACCCTAGGACAGGAAACATACTCTGTTTAAAATTGAGTCCTCTAGAAGGCTCATTTATCAACTCTGCAGAGTTCCTATTTAAACATGTTTTCTTTCAATAAGCAGTACAGAGCGATTAGTTCAGGTCTAGCTTGACAAAGTTTCCTTGAGGTCAATGACACTTAATATTCTCAAAAATCTGCCATAGACTCATAACAGAGAAGACAATCTCTCATTAACAAACACTTCAAATCCATAAAAATTCCAGCTGTCTCCCTTATCAGGGCCTGTTAATTGAAGATGCACACACTAAGGTGATCCGAGGCAGTTCCAAGTGGAGTCATGCCCCACACGCTTCAGCCACAAAAAATATGAGAAAACATGGAGACCACATGGAGAGATGATGTAGAAAGCAAGGGAAGGAAGCAATTCTTAGACCTTGTTTGTGGGAGCAAAAACCCCTCAATAAATATCACCTGAGAGTATCAGGATTAAGCTACTAGGATCAGTTATAGTAAATATACTCCGGTGATTTTTAGGACACAACTTACACTTGGTAGGAAACTAGTTGAAGTTGCATATCTCACAAAGTCTCACCGTTTCCTTGCCTTCCATGTGCTCCCTCCCCCCCCAAGTCTTCCCTAAAAAAATCCCCAAGCAAACTCTTCACCAGCTAAAAAAAGAAACAAACCAACATAAATAACCCTGACTTACTGCTTCTGATTTGGGAGGCACTGGAGGTGGAGGTAGGGAAACATCTGAAGACTTTGTGGTTGCTCCGACAGTCGCAGGAAGAGATGTGGTACCACACTTTGATCGGAAAGACCCTCTGTAGCTGTCACATTTGTTCTTCTCACTTAGCGAGCGAGTGAGAGGCTGGTCACCAGCCTTTCCAGACCCTTGGTCCAACCACAGCTCTTCATAAGGAAGTTCTGGTTTTGTAGGCAGAAACATCGATTCTTCGCTAACTTCAGGGAAAAGATAATCACTGCTACTGTCACCAGACTCCTGGTACTGAAGAGCATCATGAGAGAACAGGGCCCACTCGTTACACAAGTCCCTGCAGCCGTGGAGGTTCACTTCACTATTCCCATGCAAGTTGTTTCCATAGACACACACCGAAAGCCGGTGGAAGGACTGCGTAAGTTCGTCCCGTGCGTAGCTGAGGGAGTTCGGCACGTGGCTGTGCCCAGTGCATCGGCTCTTCTTCGGGCTCTTGCAGTCTTCGTTCCAGTCAGTTTTCACATCTCGCACGGCACGGGAATACTCATCTATGTCAAACTGTTCCTGGCATATATTAAACCAGTGCTGGATGATGGATTCGTGCCACAGCTCCCCCTTCACCAGACTGTCGGGTAGAGTAAATTTCGGAAGCGTCAAGTGCAAGGGAAAATGCATGGGAATAATTTTGTTGCCACGAAGCACACAACAAACCACCACAGTCTTGGTTTGAATGTTGACAAACTTGTACCTGTGCCCTTCACGGATAAAATGCAGGTCATAAGGGTTTCTTGGTGTAGGACTCGGCACAGTCACGTTAACGGGCAGCCTGGTTTTTTCTACTATATTGCGAATCGTGTGCTCACCTTCTTGCATCTGCACCTCCAATGGGCTGCGGGTGCTAAACTTGCCTTTACACTGGAAAGGGAGACTGATGCTTTCGTTGGTCCTGTGGTTCATGCAGATGAGGCAGGGCATTTTGCCTCTGCCTAGCTTACTAATTGAATTAAGTTTCCCAATTTTTTTGAAGATGGTATTGAGTCGTGATTTCTCCTTAGAAGATTTTGCATAAAGGATTTCTGCTTGTCCCATTAAAGTGAGCTCATCCCCAGTACTAAGGGTAATGTTGTAAACCTCAGTGTCTTCATTGCATTCACCTGAAGCCACCTGCAAAATAATAATAAAAAATTTGGTTTTCCCCCACTGAAGATAATACTTCAAATCACATCAAATATATTGAGACTGAATTTACAAGACTATATATTGGGAGAAACTAAACTAACTTTATTTGAACAGCTGAGTTGTCAAGTGCAAGGTGTTTAACCTGAAGCTCCACTAAGTAACCTTTTTTTATTGTTCTGCACATTCCTGCATCTTACGTGAGGGGTACCTGAAACTGCTAAAGAAGGCATGAGAACAAACATAACCAATTTTTAAAGAAAGGACAAATCCACATATCCCAGCAATTCAAATAGCCACTTGTGTCATACAGCTATGACAGAGCATGTCTGGATTCCTTTGGGTATCTTTTTCCCGCCCCCTTGTTTTTGCTGTTTGTTAGAACTTATTTGCCAGGCTCTTGAGGGAAGCAAACTTTTTTCACCGCCTTCAGCTTCCCGAGGAGCAGAAAAGGTGATCTCATCATTATGGATGAAGCATATCCCTTTGATAGAATCTCTTCCAGGCTAGGGAGAATGACAGATGACATCTATTCCCTGAAGGAGAAGTTAAGAATATCGGTCTATCCCATATGCCTAACTCCACCTCTGCCTTGCTCTCCTAGTCATAGACTTCCTTCCTCATTTTTTGATCATAATTGCAATTAAGATATTAAACAACATATGTACAGCCATGTGTGTGCTTTTCTAGTATGGAAATGGTACTGCAAAGAAAAAATAAAGGCAAAACAGATGTCCAAGGCTGATTTGTTCCTGAAGTTATTTCCTTAAGACTGGAATAACTCTTTATAGACAAGATTGCTCTGCTTCGTATTTGAGTGGTTTAATGTGAAAAGCCCTTTTCAGGGACCTAACAGAACCCACCCAGCTCTTCCTCAGCAGCAGCAGATACCTACTCATAAAGGAAGGTGTATCAGATAAATGCTACTGGCCTGTTATAGACCATTTTATTCAGAAATATGGAACATACTAAAAAAATTGCAAATGAAAACGCACACTAAAATAGTATATCCCTTCCTCACCTCTGCAACCCCTAGAGACTCGATGGAGCTGTGTGAAGGGCAAATTCCGGGCTTCAAATTCAGGTATCATCACAGAATAGCCATTGCATGAAATCAAGGCTGTAATTCCAATCAGTAAATAACAGAAGTGCCGTGAATAATGCTTCCTCTTGTAAGACATGATCTGCAATTCACCCATATTTGTAAAGTTGTGATTATCTTCCACAAGCCTTTCAGAGCAAAAAAAAAAAAAGCTCAGCCGAGGTGTGCTGCCTTAGCACTTCAGTCTCTGGGCTTCTGGAGAGGAAGTCATTCAAGCCCTGAATTATCTAAACAAACACTAATTGGCCTAATCCAGGAAACTACTAGGTTTTATGGTACGTAATACTCATTCATAGTTCGCACCACTGGCCAGACGTTTTGAAACGCCGCGACATGAAAGAAAAGCACTTGGGTTTTTTGCTGATAACACCGGTGTGACGCTCATTGCTGGTTTTTCCTCAAAACCGCCACAGAGCTGCGGCTGGCCACATAGCCCTGCCTTCGGTGGAGCTGATAAGGGCTGAGGACACACAGGGCTCTGTGCATGCACCGCTCAATCTCTCCCTTCTCTTTTTGAAAGGGCATGTTCTGTAAGAATATCGGTTTCTAGCACCAACAAGTCCCCACAAATGGTTTGTTTGGACAACACGAGCTATGCTGTCAGAAATTTTAACTTGAGACGGTACGGTTAGAGCTTTTCCTTGCTTCCTGCGGGACACCGGCCGGAGCGAGGGAGGCATCACAACCTACGGCTGTGGGAGCTCCTGCTTGGCCAACTCGCAGTCCCCTGGCGATTCACAAACAAACAAGCCATTGTAGAAGGAAATGGTGGGTAAGATGTGAAACCACAGAGGTAACTAACTGGCCGAGCTTCACAACGAAGGTCTCATGAAGCAGCTGCTTGTTAATGGCATCCATTTCAACCAGCCAAATAGCAAATGGATTTTTAGATTCAACAAGCATGTTTAAAGACAAAATTATTCTCAATTAAAAAATCTGGAAAACATTTTTTCTTTTTCTCTCCCCCCCCCAATATAGTCACAGGATAGTAACAGGTGAAATAAGGCTGAATTTTCCTGTGCTGGAACAAAAGAAAAATCATGCCACGGTTCTAGCTTGGCACTCTGAGAAAAATACTGTTCTGCACTCTTCCTTCTGAACAAAAATTTAAGGTGCTGTCCAAAACTGTAATAAGAAACTGAAAAAGTGAAATGAAAAGTCTAAGACTGCACAACTTTATCCCTATCCACTAAACCCTACTATGGTGATGTTAAGGCTGCTGGTACACCACAGCAGGCTAAGTATATTTTAAAATTTAAGTTCTGGAAGTCAAGAAAGCTAACTCCTCCCTTCTTGTGTTAGGTTATTTCATTCATTACTACATGCTAATTAACATTATAAAGCATACACGGTAGGTAAATATGTGTCCCAGGACATTAGCAACAAATATATACCATACATATCATATATTTCATATCATATATATATCAATATATATCATACCATACATAGCAATCATGCTAAACTCATCTAGAAACTCATGCACATATATCTCTAAGTTTTTGTTTCTCAGATTACATAGCTAAATGATCTTTACTTTGTCCATGTAGCAATGACCTATGAAAATCAAACTTGCTCCATCTTGTTCACTCAAACATTTCACCTTATCAATGGCCACAAAACTTACAAATATATCAACAAAGGGCCGTGGACTTTAGTACAGGACATCAGGTGAGACTTGTAGAATCCTCTAGGTTGGGCAGGACCCCTAGAGTCATCTAGTCCAACCTGCTCCTCAAAGCAGGTGTAGTTAAGGCAATTCTCAAGGTGAAGTACTATGAATTGCAGTGTTTAAAAATGCCAGTTGTGCTGGTTTTGGCTGGGATAGAGTTAATTTTCTCCATAGTAGCTAGTATGGGGCTGTGTTTTGGATTTGTGCTGGAAACAGTGTTGATAACACAGGGATGTTTTAGTTACTGCTGAGCAGTGCTTACACAGAGTCAAGAGGGATATTCCACACCATATGACGTCATGCTCAGCATATAAAGCTGGGGGAAGAAGAAGGAAGGGGGGGACGTTCAGAGTTATGATGTTTTGTCTTCCCAAGTAACCGTTAGGCGTGATGGAGGCCTGCTTTCCTGGAGATGGCTGAACACCTGCCTGCCCATGGGAAGTAGTGAATGAATTCCTTGTTTTGCTTTGCTTTCGTGCGCAGCTTTTGCTTTACCTATTAAACTGTCTTTTATCTCAACCCATGAGTTTTCTCACTTTTACTCTTCCGATTCTCTCCCCCATCCCACCAGGGCGGAGTGAGCAAGTCGATGTGTGGTGCTTAGTTGCCAGCTGGGGTTAAACCACAACACCAGTGTAGGTTACAACCTTCTATATATGTACTTTTTGGAAACTCAGGGCAAGTTTATTAGAGCCAATAGAAATGCAATCAAATCAGGAGATCAATTTTGCTTCACTGTACTGCATTAACATTTGTAAAAAAAAAAACAAAAACAAAGTTTTCACTACAGATTTATTTCTGCCAAAATGCACACTGTATGGGCCAACACATGTGAAAAGAGGATTAAATTAAAAAAAATAAACACATTGGGTATCAAAAGTTCACACCAGCCAAACAATGTCTTTGACAGGAAAGAAAAGGGCTAATTAACTAACCCATCTCTCCATCCTGGAAAGGCTCTGCAAACAGCTTCACAGCCTCTCCAGGGAGACCAAGTGATATCTTCAGGACAAAAATGATATCCCGGAAGATTTGAAGGGTCCTGCAACACTAAGTGGGCTGGTTTTTAGAGCACAGGAATTCATGGCTTGTCCAATGTTCAACCTATCAGACAATATTGTTGCTTTTTAACAGAACTTTTTGTGAATTGCCCTCGGTATGATGTGGGGTTTTTGTTCTTGGTTTTGTTTTTAAGTCTTAATTCAAATAGCTTCCTGGGTATTTGTACCAACTGCCATCTGTATGGGACCAGAGCAGCCAACTGCAGAAATCTATTGCTGGAAGGAAGGGAGACCCATCTCCCCTGCCTCCCCCAGAATAAGGTGGCTCATTTTTCCCTTTAACAACTAGTACACGAAGTAAAAATAAAGTAACCCCCGCCTTGGAGAAGATCCCACGGCCCGTCACAGCCAGAAGGCAGTTCTCTGAATGGCAGCGCTAGCTACAAAATCCTGCCGGAGCAGCAAAGGATTTACATGGAAGAGCAAGGTTCGCACCAAGTCGAACCGTAACCGTGGCATATTGGCACATGCAGGCAGACCTCAACAAGCACAGACAAAACCGTGCAGTGACTGACTGGTAACTCTACAGGCTCTTTCTTCAAAAATTATCCATGAAAGACTTGAGTGTTTGGAATAGGTAAGTATTCCCAGACACCAGAGTTCCTCGTCATCTTAAATGCTTCATCAGATATTTTAGGCTTTTTTTTTCTTTTTATATCAGATTAGCTACCTTCTGATACTCTTTTGAATTTAAATGGGCACACTGCATTGGACAGAAATCAACCATACTTAGTATTTCTCCCTTTGCTCTAATCAGTTTGACAAGATCTCCCCTATATTAAAATTTTAGTGTACATAATTCTATTGCACTTTAATAAATCCTCTTAAGTTCATTTATTTTTTGGAAGATGATAAACTTGGAATAGACTTCTATGAAACTGGAAAAACTGCCAAGAGAAATACTGCCAAGATAACTGTGTAACTAGGTTAAACCTGGATTATTATTACTGTTATTTACATTAAGGACTATCACTATAATCTCTTTTTAAAAATGATTTGATATATAACAGTAAGCTATGCTTAATTCTCAGTTTGCTAAATATGACAGAGTTTTAAGAACACTCATATTGAACTCAAGACACAACATTTTACATTTAAAAAAGCCTGCAAACGAATACTTTTTTCCCTATAAAATCAAAGCTGCACATTCTACCATGCCACTTTCTTGATTTAGTCATTGATCAACTGAGACATAATGGCACAGCGCTGGATAAGGCTAGCAGTCCCAAGGTAAGACTGATCTTCCTGGGTAGAAATGACATTTTCTTGTTGCCTTGATTTGCGCAACTACATCCTAAACATACAACAGTGTTCCAGCTTTCTCATGTAGCCTTCATTCATGAAGGGCTCTGTTTTACGGGTTCAGGTTAATGGAGAGCAGAAATGAAAACAACCTACTGTCTTGAAAGGCATGAGTCTGTGTCACTAAATGAATTAACTGATGAGCTCTCGCACTTAACAGCAGTATTCAGCAATCCTGTTTCACACCTATAAAAACTGCAGACTAGCCGGTGTCCCCCAATTCTAGCAATGCAAGAAAGAGAAAAAGCCATTAAAAGGTTGTTATAAAAACCCCACATCGCTACACACGGGACCAGGAAACTCTATACTGGTTTTGCACCAGCAGTATCGACCAGTTTCCCCTGTAGGGTACACGATGTGGATCTGCACCATTGCATCCCAGCTCTAGGATGCTCTCCAACCAGTCTTAGGCGGTGTATCAACTGAAGCAAACCAGATGAGCTCGAAGACCACTCTGCTCTGTTGGCAGAGCTGACCTGCCTTGTGTAGTGTCACACATATAGGTAGGACAAGGAAGAACAAGTTCTGTCTTCATTGTGTCATGCCACTGCGCTGCAGTGTGTTTGGTGATAGCAAGCCCTCTTACACTCATGGGATTGCTGACCCGTTGATGAGCCCAAGAGGCATGCACATGCAAACACACACACGCACACAGAACAAGGGTGTCTTTTGGGTTTTTTTGTTTTATTCACAATGCTATTTAGCTGCAGTAATTTTGAGACAAGCAACCCCATCATTTCACCCTGTGTGCTCCCTGAGAATAAGGCTTTCTGGACAGGGATTTGAGCAGCTGCTGCTTAGCAGAGAATAAAATTCAGACTGCTGGAGGGGGAGGGGAAAGGGGGCAACAAACAACATTTGTTTAAAATCTGGCAGGAGCATCCTAATTAGATGAATTATTGGATGGATCATCAGAACTGCTCCCCAAAGTGCCATAGGACAGGAGAGCCCTTAGAGGACATGTTGATTTAAGACTGCAAAAACGATCCCAAAGAGCACCATCACTGAATGCAGAACACTAAAGGCTCGTTTGTCTCAAAAATCACACTTCCCACACAGTGCTGTTGCTCACTTGCCATGTATATAAAGGTTGTAACAGTTAATCATTTAGACAGGGATAAATATTTATTCAGGGACTACCTTAACGTTGAATGTTATTTCCTCCATGACGTAAACTCGTTCAGGAAATGCTTTAGCCACCTCCTCCACACTGTTAAAATACTGCACTGGCTCCTTAATATCTCGGTCTTGTTCCAGCAGCTTAAACTGCCCTGAAAACAGATGATAAACAGAAGAGTTGTAAGATATTTATATTGGACAACTGTCACTGTGGCAACTGCTGGCTCAACTTCTTCACCATTTTGCTCAGTCAATTTTTCCGGTTATTAGCAGCCAAACAAGAAGACAAAAGATTGCAGAGAGTCTCCTGAACCTGCTGTGAAAGACACCCAGTTTCACCAGGTCAGAACGAAAAGAACGTGTGGGAGCCAAAGTTAAATTAAAAAAGATCCTTTTTATCACGTGCTCTCTAGAAACAGTAAATAACTATGGAGGCATTTGTGTTTGTGTACTTAATTTGGTGTAACAGTATCTGTACAGATAGCATTTTTTGGCCCTTAGTATTAAAAGCTTTACAGAAAGAAAACACACCCATTAGTATAAAACCCCAAAATGATAAACATAGGGGGTTTGGTTTTGTTTTTAGCATCATGAAACAGCTATTAAAAAATACTAGGCTAAAACCCTTTTCCCCTTAGGCTTCCCTAAGAGTGGAATAGCACCTAGCTTTCCTCAATCATAAACTAAGCCCTTTGAGAACTTCAGCTAACATAAGAAATTAAACCATACACATTTAAAACCCTTTTGAAGGTGGTCACCTTCAGAAGAGCATTAGAAAGAAGTATTTCTTGCTGACTTTACCTCCCCCCAGCATGAAAACCTTGCCTATTTTCTAAGTCTTGTAGAAGGCAAGAACTAACACGGAGGCAGCCGCCCCGCGCAGACCTGCCAGGGACAGCCAGGCACATCAATCACCTTTGTGCACTACGAACACAAAGTTTAAAAGCTTTCTTTTATAAATACAGCAATAATGAAAGCTTAGATGGACATATTTGCTGCTTGTATGACTTAAACTTAAAATCAGGGGAGCAATCTTCCCAAATTTAGAAACATTAACTACTACTAAGTTAAAGGCAAGACTCGATGTAAGAAACAACTCAAGAAAATGAGTAAAAGGCTGAGTAAAATCAATGGTTAGTGCATCTCCTGTAAATCATAGTTTAAAATTAGCAATGCACTGGATTATTGTTCCCAAACAGTGCTCAACTTCATTAAAATCCAATACATCAGGATGTCAGCCACCTACAGAAATATTTTCTCACTCCTTCAGCATTTTTGTGCGCAACACCCTGCTGCCCCTATACATCCCATCAGACTTGAGACTTTTGTGACACGTTCGGAGAATTCACCCACACTAAACTATTTCAGGCCACCTAGCAGCAGAAAAGGAAACAAACGCAAGCTCAGCAAGTCCTGACACCCCATGAGGGAGACCCATCCCACCACCCTGCCAGGTGTGTGCACACACGTGTACACACCACCCCCCCACCCCCCCCCAAGAGAGGTGCAGGACCAAGAGGCTCAGCTCCTCCACCCAACCCGAGCACCCCACTGACAGAGGCACGCTCTTTCAATCAGTATGCTCAAGTACTCTGGTTGTAAGCCTAAATACCAACTTACAAGACAGAAGACTTCCTTTTATTGCCTTCCATACATTTTGTCTTTCTAAAGTGACCACAGCAACTTTGAAGTATTATCAGCAGGGTAACTAAAGATGCTGGTACTTCCCACCACGAGACTGTATTTTGCAACTGTTTAATAAACTTCACCGCACTTCAAATATCAGTTGCCTCGGAGTTTTCCTAACGCTGTGTCTGCTTCAGGATACACTATTATTTGAAGCTCAGCCAAGGCAATTCAAGTGCTTCAAAGACCAACACTGGGGTAGAAGCAGCAGGACCTTTGGTCTGACCTGCTGAAGCCATTCCTGTAGTATATTACAGCAATGTAGTTGACTACAGGAATGGCTTCTCCGGGTCAGGCCAAAATCTGCCTTGTGCAGGATTCTGCCTTAGGCAGGAGTCAACACCGGCTGTGAAAGGAGGACTTTAAGCACAATTAGCAATACCCCTCAGAGGGTCCTCCACACCTCTAGGAAGAACTCATGGCTCAAGGATGCCCAGAGCACGGAAGAGGTATCTCTGGGCTTAGTACCTCCAGAGGTTTTCTTCCCTGTAAATTTGTTGAATTGCTTACTGAAGGTACCTAAAACTTTCATTGTAGACATACCCTCTATCTTGAAAAATTCTGGCAACCTCTTCTTCCACAGGCTCTACACTGCCTCCAGGATTAAAAGTAGAAATTTTAGGAGTGACTAAGATACATCTGGCAGACACTACAGGTAGCCATAGGAAACCTGACAGTGGACAACCATTTGGAAAAACACTTCACGCGCTCAAATAGAAATGTGCCAACATCCTGAAGCTGAATTCCTCAGCCTGTCTGCTCCGAGCCCCTTTTGGTGCAAAGCAATAGAGGGGCCAGGCATCCAGCACCTCTAGGCTCGGAATCCGGACAGTAAGCAGGGAGGTGCTCCGTTAGCCAAAGCTGGAAAGCATGTTGTGACTGAAGCCTGAGGTGCAGACAGGGAGAGATGAAGAGAGGAGAACTGTGCTATTTAATCCCCAGTCCACCATATAGATCATTTAAGTCCTGGTTTCAGGATTTCCCTGTCAGCCACATCCTAACCAAGAGGAAGATGCGTTCCCCAGCTCCGCAGGACCTTCCCCCTGCAGGCACTCCGCTTTCCTGCAAAGGAAATTCAGGTGTGCGGGGGAACTGAGTGAAGTCAGACCTCCTCCTACATGGAGCCTGGATGTGCCAGGACATCACGCAGCAGCAGGGACTGTGAGTTGCACCAGGGAGCACCTGATAGCACAGAAAAACTACTACTCTAGAGCGCAGAGCCAATGACCATATTTCACAGAGTCACTAAGGGCAAGATGTTCTTAAATTTTACAGAAGTCATCACGCTGTTCGTTCTCCATGGGCTGACCTGAGGCTGTTGCTCTCTCCTGCTTACTTCTGAATTGTTCCTCAGGAAGCATTGCTGTCCTCTTCAACTACTGACACAGCCACCTGGATGCAACCCTAACTGATTGCCCAATTTGCGATCCAAGGGTCTGACTTGCAGGATTCCCAGCTGTGGTTACTATTCGAGGCAAGCTGTGATTACAATTTATAATGGCATTTCATACTTTAAGTTCCCTGAAGAAAAAAAAAACAACACAAAACCACAGCAAGTTTGAGTCACCTCAGACAGATCCAAATCCAAAATCCAGTTGGGTTACTTCTGATTTAACACTCCCCCCTTACGTACAGAACGGAGTTGAATACGATACTGCATGGAAGCTACACAGTTTTTTGAAACTGTGAGATACTGCAGTAATAAAATTTTGCTAGTTCAGAAAGAAATTGAGAACTCTCACTTCAGAGTGGGAATTGAGTTGGGCACAGTAACAAGGCATGAATTCACATGAACAAGGAAGGAAAACAACATATTGAGTAATAATACATTATATGAACATTATTCATCCAGCACTTTGAATGAGACAGTGGTCTTTAATTCTAGGTTCTCTAGTTACTCTGTTTGGAAGCATAATATTAGTATTTTACTATGACTGTCATGTATTTAACAGTAAATAGTCTGGTGGCAAGAAAAGGCCCGTTACCCATTGCAATCCAAACTTCCACAAAAAAGTCCCAAATTTCTCAGCATGGAACAAATGCTTTAGGCTCTCTGGAACTGGGAGCAGGGTCTGCTATCTAATGTAGACTTACACATGTTTCTGAAAAACAGAAAAATCAGCTGGAGCTTTGCTTCGGTACAAAGAGATGCCTAGAACCGTCTACGTTGCTATCTGTGCCATCCTCCCCTTCCTTCAGCTGAGCCGCGCAAACACAAAGCCGTCTGTGCCTCCACTGCTAATAAGCAGCAGTTCACGAGGAGGTTGACTACAGAGTACACACAGATCCCAAAGCATATAATAGAAGGGCAGCATTAATCTCTCCCTGTTACAAAATCAAGACGTATGCTGTGCATGGAAGCTGTCAGGGCTGGATGTTAAAATGCCTCTTCTTTGGAAAAGATGGTTTATAACTCGAGATTTTCTACAGACAGTTTTTTGAAATTTATTTTCTCATTGAAAAAGGCAGACTTTTTTATTGGAAGGAGAGAAAGAAGGGCTGAAGAGGGGCCTGCAATACACATTTGAGCCAGATGTCAAGTAACTAACTAATGGGGAGGAAGGAGACAATTTCTTACTATGTTTCTCCCTGGTCTCTACTCAAGCTGCCATAAAAAAGACAGCATGGCTGAAATACAAGTTAAATGGACATAAGTGTGGCTTGACTGCAAGTTAAAGCAGAATTTTACTCCACTTTGCAAGAGGCAAGTTTTCATCGAGAGACTTTACAAAACTGACAGCAAGCTTAAACAAATCACAATGCAATTTAACTGTGTGTTAGTTATGAATTTAACAAAACATTTGAAAAAACCCTAAAGCTAAACCTATACTTTAATAGAAGTATCCCCATCTCTCTCTTACTAGCACAAAAAGAATAATGAAATATTTCTCTAGTAAATCAGTGCAGGTTCAGAAAGATCAAAGATTTGTAATACCTACACGGTCCACCAAGCAGGTGTGGTTACTCCTTTGCAGCCAAATGCAAGGGAGTAATGAACGACTACTGCAAGCTTTATATCTCTATCTTTCAGTCTGGCCTCTGGCAGGCACAGTATTGGAACAGTTTCATTCTAGTATATATTATCTCTGCAGATTATGAATTCTTATTTCCCTGTGAAGGTACTTACAGCAAAGACAGTAAATCCACTACTGCTGGAAATGAGTCCGGAAAGATAAAAAGGCAGGGAAAGACCTAAACCAGGGCTTATCCTCCAGTTTATGGAGGCATTTATTAAAACCCAGTAGGAGCAGGAAGGTCAGTCCATCTTCCTTCTTGCCAGAAGCTGACCCTGCAACATCTGTGAGCAGGGGCATTAACCAGCCTTTTCTGTCCCAGCCTTCGGGTTGCTTCTGCTGCTTCCACTACTTCAGGTCTTGCAGGCTTACATACGTTCACAACTCCAACCCACCTCTTAACAGGTTATTTCTGTAATACAAGATACTCTGGTTTTCGCAGCAGCTTACCC